AAAACAATGAGATATTTTATTCAGGAGATAGCAAAATATTAAAAATAATGAAAAGGGACTCTTTTACTGTTGATAAGAAAGTTAGGTTGAAAAAGTCTTTTTAATATCCACCAAAATGGTATATACAAAGTGTATATACTCACTTGACCCGCACTTTCACTTCTAGGAATCTAACTTAATAGTTGCTCAGATATATTCATACATGTTTAATGCAGCATCTCTTCAAAATTGGGGGAAATGGGAAACAATTTAAATGACCAGTGGTTAAATGTATTATATACACCTCATCTACACCATGAAATATCATTCGGTATGAAAAAAGTACCTACACGAAAACACTTGCTTCCCATCCATACATACAAAAAAAAACATACTGTCAGAAAAAAAAAAACTCCTAGGTTCTTTGAAGTCTTTGCCATTAGACCATAATACTCACAACCCTTCTCTGTGGAGTCACCTACTTGGCCTGTCAACTCCCCTTATTCACAGAAAACCTCAGCACCAAAGTTTCTGCCCAGTTACTCCAGTGATCATTCCTGAAGATTTCAATAGCAATATATTCTCTCAGGTTCTTCACTTCCTTCAGATAAATCTTTTCTTCCATCCTATTTCAGTTACTTCCTCCCATAATCATACCCCAAATTGTCATGTTCAATAACTAAAACTACCTCTCAGCATCACATTTAAGCCTTTCACATTGAGGGCACCACTTCTAGGTTTCCAACTTTACTAATATGCTAGTCACCCTACTTTCATAATTCTTTATCACCATCAAAACTTCCAGTCCACTGACTCTACCACTCTCACTGTCCACCATGTCCCTCATGTTCTCAGTTCCTTCCTCAAACAACATCCTTAAAGTAGCCACAGTCCAAAATTACAACTTCCTTGTATACACCTTCAGGTCCACTGCATCATTCCCTCTGTCATACTTCTTAGCATACTTTCTAATACTGGTTAAACCCAACCCATTGCTTATTCCATGTTCTAATTGGTCTTATTTCCATTTTTGTCCCATGAAGCAGAGATAGCTAGCTGCCTACCCAGTATTCATTTTTTTATTTCTTACTGAAAGAATCCTAATTTTACCAAGGAAGCTAATGTACCCAGGTAAAACACTGTTACCCAGCTTTCCTGACAGCCACAGGGAGTCTGTGACACTACACTACAAAATATAGGCGAAGTCACTGGGTGGGGCTTTGGAGAAAGCTCTTTAAAAGACCAAATTCAGCTGACATATGCCCTTCTGCCTTACCTTCTGTCTAGATGGAATAATAGAGAAGGATCAACCATCTCACACCACAAGGAGACAGGCACACTAGAAGATGTCTAAACAGAAAAACAAAAGGACCCTGAACCTCTGATGTCCTAGAGCTGCCATATTAGTCCTGGACAGTTTACCTCCAGCTTTTTTGTTACTTAAAAAAATAAAACTCCTAATTTATTTGAGTCATTATGTTGGGGTTTCTACTGCTCTGCTTAGTTGCTCACTCATGTGACCCCATGGACTGCAACCTGACAGGCTTCTCTGTCCATGGGATTCTCCAGGCAAGAATATTGAAGAGGGTTGCCATTTCCTCCTCCAGGGAATCTTCCTAACCCAGGGATTGAACCCAGGTATCCTTGCACTGCAGGTGAATTCTTTACCATCTGAGCCACCAGGGAAGCCCAAGAATACTGGAGTCTCTACTATTGATAGTAAATACAATTCTTAATTCCTAAGCCCATTACAGTTTATTCCCCACAAGGGAACTAGAGACCTCTTAAAAATATGAAAGTGACAGTCACTCAGTCATGTCCGACTCTTTATGACCCCATGGACTGGTCCACGGGATTCTCCAGGACAGAATACTGGAATGGGTAGCCTTTCTCTTATCCAGGGGATCTTCCCAACCGAGGGATCGAACCCAGGTCTCTACCAGGAGACTTCTTTACCAGCTGAGCCACAAGGGAAGCCCAAGAATACTGGACTGGGTATTCTCCAGTGGATCTTTCTGACCCAGGAATCGAACTGGGGTCTCCTGCATTGCAGGTGGATATGTGAGATCATATTACTGGCTTCCCATCACACTTAAAATAAACTTAGGGTCCTTACTAGGCAACTAGGCCCTCTCTGATATGGCCCTCCTCTCTCTCGCAACTCACATCATACCAAATCCCCATACCACACTTCCATCCACAACTTGTACACTCAGTTCCATCCAAGGTGTTCCTTTAACAAGGAAGACCTGTTTCCATCTCAGGGCCTGTGTGTTTGCTGTTCCCTTTACTGGGAATGCTCTCTCCTCACAACTTTACTTGGCTTGCTCCCTCACCTCTTCCAGGTAGCAACTCAAATGTTGCCTTCTCTGACATTTTCCCTGATCCCTGTATTAAAAACAGTTGTTTTGTGTCTCAAGTTTCCCTTCCACTCCCCTGTAACTCTTCCTACCTTGCTTTATTAATATATATTAAATACTTTTTTTGCTTATTTACTGTTCATCTTCCCCATTAGAATGGAATCTCTCTAGCAGCAAGAACCCTGGGTGTCTTTTTCAGCATCATATCCCTAGTACCTGGCACACAGTAAGGACATAATAAATATTTGCTGAATAAATGAATATACATCATGATCTCATTTATACTGAAAAAGACTGAAGCATATGTGACTGTGTGTGTGTAAGTACATAAAAAATCTAGGATAGACACTAAACTGTTGATGCTAGTTATCTCTGGGGAAGAGAGTGGAAAATAAAAAAAAGAACTTTCACAGCTTGCTCTGCATATTTTTGCATAAAAGAGACAAAATTAGCTATAACACATGGCAGGAAGAAAATGTTAAACATATTTAGAAATATAAATCTATTTATAGAATCATAAAATTTAGACACTCATAGTAACCTCAGTAAGCATAACACTACATCATGGGTAGAAGGATCTATGATTAGGAAGCAAACATCTTTTAAAAGACCTAGAATCAGGGGAATAAGACTTCCTGATAACTTTTTTATAGCCTTTATAAAGGTTTTTACTGTTATTTAAACAAAATAAAAAAGTATACTAAGCAAAGTGTATTGTACATCAAATTAGTAATGAATTGGGTAGAATTAATTTCTATCACTTGCTCAGTAAAAACTTTTAAATATCTCCCTTCCCTAGGGATTCATCTAGATAATTATATATTTGCTTTGTTTCAGAAAATATGCATTCTAAGACACTTTTTTTTATCAAGTTCTCCATCCAAATGTCTAGTATATTAATTTTTTTACTTTATGGAGGCATATTTTTACATGTTATATAATTTGTCCATTTCAAATATATAATTCAATGGTTTTTAGTAAATTTACCAAGTTGTGGAACATACCATAATTCAGTTTTAGAAACCTTTATCACTGGAATAAAATCATTCATGTCCATTTACTGTTAACCCCCATTCCCACCTCTACTCAATCAACCATTAATCTACTGCCTCTATACTTTTGTTTACTGTAGACATTTTCTATAAATAGAAACATACAATATGTGGTTTCTTTCATGATTTCTTTCACTTAGCATCTTTTCCAGGTTCATCTATCTGGTAGCATGTGTCAGTGTTCCATTCCTTTTTGTTGCTGAATAGTATTCCACTGTATGGATATGCCACAATAGTGGCATATCCACTATAATTTAGTTCTATGACTTGGATTTCCATTCTCCAGATAATACAATGGATGAAAGATAACTTGGTTACTTGGGGAAGGGGGGCAGGGAATATCTATGGTTAAATTTATTCAACACAATGACACAGGTGAGTGTTTTTCAAATCCAATCCAGTTTACACAGAATGAGATTGTCCTGGCTTCACTCAACAACATTATGCTATCTGTCACTTTTAGAACTATTTTTTCTGTCCCTCCCTCCTAACAGGAACAAAAGGATAGTTCCCCAAGGTTTCTTTCTCTCTACTAAGGTTTATAAAAAATCTCTACACTTACTATGCCTTCTGCCCTACTTCTTTTTTCTACCTCCGAGTCCTTATTTTCTCATTATCTTCAAGCTGATAGCTTTAAAATTTCCATATTCTCCAAATTTCTAAAAAGTTACATTAAAACTAAATATCTGCATATTCTGGAACTTTATTTAAGAGAAATCTGTGGTTCTCTTCATGTAGCCCCTGAGAACAATTTCTATGTAGAAAAAAGCTTTGTAACTGATTTAAAATGAAAAACAAAAAACTCACAACTCTAAATATAAAAGGAGCAAGAGGACCCATGTCAACATTTGACACTCTCATTTAAAAGATCAAATATATAGTAGTTAAGCACAGTCTTTTTTCTCTTTAACATGACCTTTCATTCAGTCTAAAATGCCACAATAATGTTATTGTCTTGCCTCTGCTTTATGATGATGTTCAATTCAGATTAAGTGGATTATTTGTCTTTATAAAATATTAAACATCTACATGTAGAATAATTATCTAATCATTATGATCTTAGGTAAGGGATGGTGGTTCAGGGAGAGGGCTGGGGAAGGATAATACAAATCTTATATTTCTTATAACCAGACTTTTTGAAGTCTTAATTTTTCAAATGATTCCCAGACTATTAGCTTGAAAACATCAAAAATAAGATGATCAGGAAACAGATAAAAGCTTTCCCAATGGTAAATGCTCTCTAACTAGAAAATTATTCCACTACCCCTTTATCAGACTGAGTTACAGTTCTTACAGAACACCACATGTAATTAGAGTAACCTTTTAAGATAATGAAAAATAATACAAGCTATTATTATTAAAGGTTAAATGTTAGCTTTTAACTAACATTTAAATGCTAAGAACACCTCTCCTGGTGGCCAGTTACTGTGGCAGGTGTATGATAGGCTCTGTGAGCTACATTTTCATCTGTTTGCTATAATGCAGACAGGTTCTACATTATCAGTTTTAAAATTCCCTATTAAATCTAAACTTCCACTAAGTACTCTTTAATGTCATTATTCCAATTTACTTTAAGAAAATGAATGGCATAATAATATGTATACTATACCTTTTTCAGGCTTTCATATTCCTCACGAAATTCCCCAGGCTTGTTTAATTTGATTGGTGCTCTGAATATAAACTCTGGAAAAATGAGAAAAGAAAACACTTTTTAACAGAACTTTCTAGGAAGGAACCAAGATCTTGTCCTACATCATAAACCACATAAAAATTGTGGTCATCTTCCCACAATTTGAATATTCATTCATTCATTTAACCAATACTTATTAAAGGATATAAACCAGGCACAGTCCTAAGCACTGGGGAGAAGCACTGAACAAATAAAGTCCTTGCTATCATGGAGCTTACAAAATTGTGGAGGGAAACAGATAATAAACACACAAGTGTGTGTGTATAATACCTCTGATGGTACTAAGGGCTATGAAGGAAAATAAACATAAGATGGAAGGAAAAAACAGTACACAGAGTGGTCTGAAGGGTCTCACTGATAAAAGTAACATGGTAAAAGACCTCAAGGAAAACTATATTTAAAGGTCTTAGTTTGGGACTTCCCTGTCAGTCCAGTGAGTAAGACTCCGTGCTCCACTGAAGGAGGTGCAGGTTTGACTCCTGACCCAGAAACTAAGATCCCACACGCTACGCCACTGGCACAGCCAAAAATTATTTACTTAATTTTTTTTAAAAAGCTCTCAGTTAAATATTACCAAGTGACATTTTAAATAAGCTAAAGTTTTACTCATACTACTGTTTCTTTCTACTTCTTTTCAACACTGCCAACAGATTACAACCTATAAATATTTTCAGTATATACCCTGATTTTTTCAGTGGTTTTGATCAGCCTATAAAATAAAGTCAAAACTCTTCAATGTCACTGAAGGTCTTCCAGAGACTGATCACAACTTCATCTTTCTAAATCACTGTCTCTCTCAACTCTTGACTACCTAATTACAACATACACGCCACATATTTCTAAACCTTTTATGTTGCTTTCTCAGCTGAAATTCTGTGTTCTTCTCTTCTCTATATATAGTTTTAAATCTGAGGTTCCAGGCCCACAAGAGGCACACAATACATATTGATTATATAAAAAATAAAAATCCAACTTAGGAACAAATAAAAGATAAGTCCTAAATGCTATAAAAAAGAAGGAGAAAACACACACTTCAGCCTTCTTAAATGTACATGACACTTCTATACACCCCCATATATATATATATATGTATATACAGTGACTTAAACACGGTATTTAAGACTTACTAATAACTCTACATCCATTCAGGTTGATAATATTTGTTGTAGAAAAGTGGGCTCCTCAAAAAGGTGACTTTCGTCCTTTTTCAGTTGTCTCAACTACTTTAGAAAGACTCATTTACACCAGAGAAATGTGGAAGATTCTTAGAAACACTGGACCTAATGCAGATGCAGAAAACAGGAACTTAAAGCTGTACCAAACAGGAGAGAGTTATTAGATCCAGGGCTTGGGAGGAAAACATTCCATCACCTTCATCCACTTAAAAAATAAACTCCTGATGACTATTTTAATCGTATCTCTTAAGAACATTTCTAATTATAGGCAAATAGTATTTAAAAGCAGATGCTGTAAAAGAGCAGTGGAAGAGGGAGGAGAAATGCAAAATCCTTAAGGCAAAAAAGGAAAATACTTTTAATCCATTTATGAAGAACTTATTCCTGAATAATACTTCATATACATTTTCTCAGTAAATCTTCACAGAAACTTTGTAAAGCAGGTATTATAACCATTTTACAATAAGGAAAAGGAGGGGTTAATGACTTCCCCAAGACCACAGAACTAGTACATAGCAAAATTAAGAGAAAAAGAATTAAGGTATAAAGACGGAAACTACATAATGATGAAAAAGTGAACTCATCAAGAAGATACAATTATGAATTTGTATGAACCTACCACAGAGCAAAACAATAAGACTATAAGAGAAACTAATAAATCCAAAATTATAGTAAAAAAATTTAACATATCCCAATTAAAAACAGATCAGGCAGAGCAAAGGTAATAAAAATACAGAAAAATTGAACAATAAAATTAACAAACTTGATTATGTATTTATGAATTCAATAAGCAAAATATATATTCCTTAAAGCAACAAGGAACAATTAAAAATACACTAGGTCTCAAAGAAGTTATAAAAATTTTCAAAGAATTCACATTATACAGACTTTGTTCTTGGATCTTAACTGCCATTTTCCAAGCCAAGTTCTGTAGCTACCTGGCTGATAACTTTAGCTTACCCAATATTCTTTCTCAATAAATTCCTTTTCTGCCAGAGTAGATTTCTACTGATAACAACCACTGGCAGGGAAGTTTGGGGGAGAATGGATTCATGTATATGTATGGCTGAGTCCCCTTGCTGTCCACCTGAAATTACCACAACATTGTTAACTGGCTCCAATATAAGAGATTTAGTCGCTAAGTCATGTCCAGCTCTTACAACCCCATGAAATGTAGCCCACCAGGCTTCTCCATTTATGGGATTTTCCAGGCAAGAATGTTGCCATTTCCTTCTCCAGGGGATCTTCCTGACTCAGGAATCAAACTCTAGTCTCCTGCACTGCAGGCAGATTCTTTACTGACTGAGCTACCAGGGAAGCCAATATAAAATAAAAAGTTGAAGAAAAAAAAACTAACAACTTTTTTCACATGGTACTATGAGATGATTCAGAAGCAAAACTCAAAACTGGTTAAGGAAAAAAAGAGAGAGAAGACAAATTACTCCTAAGAATAAAAATGAGGACCAAATTAGAGGTATGAAGTGAGTTTAAATCTCCAGTAACTATTAAAACAATGTTACAATGAGTGATCTTGCATATGAATCATTTTGCATGTCTACAAGTATAGCCACAGATTAAGTTGCTGGAATCAGAACCGCTGGGTCAAAGAAAATGTGCTTCTGTAATTCTGGCAGACAATATCAAATCCCCCTTCATAAAACCTGTACACACTTATAGTCCCACCAGTGATGCATGAGACTGCAATTTCCTCACACCTTTGCCAGCAGGATGAGTGCTGAAATTCTTTAGCTTTCCCAATATAATTGGTGAAATTCTGCATCTTATGCGCTTAATGAATGAAACTGAGTACTTTTCATATATTTGAGTAATTTACATTTCCTTTGATATAAAAAGTATATAATTTCCTTTACTCCTGCTGGAGTTAACTTTTTCTTCCAGATTTGTTAAAGCTCTATGTAAGAAAAATTACCCTTGTGTCACATGAATAGCAATACTTTTCTTAGTTTATCATCTGTCTTGACTTGGCTTACAGTGGTGATTTTTGTGTAGTTATATTAATCAAACTTCTCCTTTATGACTTCTGCATTTTGCATATTTGGAAAGACCTTCCTCAGGCCAAAATATAGTAACAAATTCTATCACAGTTTCTTCTGACACAAAGTGTAAGACTCTTCTCATATCTACTTTTAAAAATTCTAAATCTATTTTTTATTTGGAAGCAACATAAGGAGCATAATTTTATTCAGGCTTTTAATAAGTCTACTATCCAACACAAGGGACCAAAAGTACTTTAGCGACAGACTAGTAAAAATGATTATAATTTTTACTTACTGTTAGAGAATTTGTTTTCTTTAAAATAATTCTTGATGGCATTTAGAAGAAAATGTCCAAAGAGCCTAACAGCTTTATTATATAGTGTAAATAGTACAAAATTAAAAGCCTGATCCCAAACTTAGAAGCTTCCAGAGTCTCAAATAAGTCAGTCTTAACTTCCTCTTCTAAAAATCAGAAAAATACCTACTATGACAGCCGAGTATGAGGATCAAATGAATATAATGAAAGTGAAAACACTTTGTAAACTATTTTCAGACGGTAGAGTGGCATGCAGTAGAATCTTATAACTATAAAACTGCCTCTGGTATTGACGAGATTAAGAAATGGTAGTTTGGTCTGGTTTATTTGCAGGTATAACTTAAGAGAAATGAAGATAATTACCCAACTGCTTGGATACATTTATTATATGAAAAGTTAAATTCACTTTGGGATACTTACTAAGAAATCTCAACGTTCATATTTAAGGCCAAGTAAGAACTCGGCATACTGACTGAAATATTACTATACCTTGACTCATTTGAGTGTAAAAGGTAATGACAAGGGTAGGATTAATTTCTACTCACCAAGATTAGTACTGATATAGATTAGCTTACTGTTGGATTAAGATTAATGAATCTTGATGCTTTAAAAATAAAAAATGCTAAACAGTCACTTTTTGCAAATTCTCCCAACAGGACTGTGCTGCATTAACTGGCATCATGCCCAAAAGTTCAAAAAATTACATAGTCAACAAAGTAATTCTTAAATACAAAAACAGTTAAGTATAAAAGGTCATGAACTGGTCCAATCTGACATTAACTTAAATATTTAAGCCGTTTCCTATTTTAATAATGCCCTCTAGAAATGTCAACAAGGCAAAAATAATTTTTTTCTTCCCTACTGGCTTGCAAAAAGAACATATTAGGTTCTGACACCTGTTCTGTCAATTAAGTGAGAGTATCTAGATATATCAAAGATTCTGTTTGCCTTGGTCTCATCTATCAAGTGGAAATTAAAATACTGGCCAAATCTACTTCACAGGAATGCAGAAGACCACATTTAGTAGTAGCAGTAATCAATGAAGAATCCCTATAATAAAAACACAGCTAACATTTAATAAGAGCACACCACATGCTAAATGCTACACACATATACACACACACAATGCAGAAAAGACAACAACAGCAGGCCTAACTGCCTATCTTAAGGCTTGAGTACAGGGTTAGCCTTTAACTGGTGGCTAGGAAGATTTGGGGAGAGTTCTCAGCCACCTTGATTAGGTACAGGCTCCCTGTTACCTCAACTGTCTTACTATGTAAACTGTATAAACTATGTAGTTATGCTGAATACCTTCTTTCCTGATGGGATTCTGGAATTCTGGAACATGTTAGGCAGACAGTCCCTATATGATCAGCCCCTAATAAAAACTTTGGGCAATAAGCCTGTAAGAAGCTTCCCTGGTTCGCACCACCTAACACATGTAGTCACAACTTGTTGCTGGGGAAAATAAGCATGTCCTGTGAGACTCAACTGAGAGAGAACTC